AAACAAAAATATAACACATTTAACGATTTAACACATCATATACATCATACTTTATACATATAACGACAATACAACTTTGTTTAAATACACACTTAAATAAATATTTTTTCAAGTTATACATGAGTTTTGTCGTTTGATGAAGAAATGAAATAAAACTGTACCTACCATATTTACAAGTGCCTAACAACTAACAAGTAACAATAATACAATAATATAGGAATTGACAATAGTAGGTATACAAATATACAATAATAGTTACCTACATAAGATATGTTATTGGCCATTACTGTGTACCTAAATAAGATAATCTTATGTAGCCATGTAGGTACCTACATCCTACACAATACAGCTAAATTAATTTGTTGCAACAGCATATTATTATCATTTTAGAGTTCTGTCAGTTTTGATACATGACACACACGCGTTTAAGCTACACACGAATCCTATTTATATAATAATAATAATATAATATAGAAGACTAAAAAAATATATTAATATTAAAGACGTAGGTACCTATACAGATTCTAGGAAATTACATTTTTTTTTAATCTATCTGTATACAATTTGTTAACGACAGTATTTTTAAAAAAAATTAGTGGGTACCTATACAAATAACAAAATACGTAGGTAATACAGCGATATTCAAAGTCAGCAAAACTCTCGGAAGGATCTAAAATCTGTTTGAATATACTATAAGTAGATAGTTCAAATTTACAGGCTAAAGCCATAAAGGTGATTACGTGATATTTTTGCGACGGTGCCATTTCAGACGATTTTAAAAATAGGTAATTTATATTACCTAGTGATTTTTGACGAATACAATTTGACCTTAAAATGTAGGTATCAGCTATACGCCGTACCCTATATATACTAGATTAAAGCGTAATAAAGTTATTTTAAATTAGTGTATACATATTTTTTAAATTGTATTTAATTGGTATTCGGTAGGTAGTTAACAAGAATTTAACAATTTTTAGTAAGTAATATAAGTATGTCGATAAGTGATAAGCGGTAACTGATAATTACAATAATTAGAAAAAAATGTCTGTTTTTAATAAGTCTGTCTCGATTACTAGAAAAAACATTGTTTTAAATATATTAAAATGTGCTAAACTATCTACGATATAAATAAATGAAGCCTAAAGGTTCTAAACTGTAATTAATCTGTAATAATACAATAATACAATTAATAATTTTTTCGGATAACGAATAAAAATGTTTAATATCTACAACCAATGGGTCTACAATCGTTTTAAATATCTTAGAACTAATAAGAGCTATAATTATAGTTCTTTTGTAAGTTGTAAGATTTGGTATTAATTACATAATACAACGTTTGCAGGAGTCTTGGCCATCCGTATATGGAATTTTATTATACCTACCTACACTAATGATAACTATCAACTATCTAGGCACATTTTTTTATTTTACTACAGTGTCTATAACCTACCTATTCGCTGCCTGCTAGAATATGAAACGGAATTTGTGCACGAATAAAATTATAAGATTAGCAAAAGAAATTCCTTTCGTTCCTATTTCTACGTAGGGGGTGTGATACTGATACAACTATACAAGTGTATAGGTATTGTGTACGGTGTATACTGTTACTGTATAATATACGTGTAGCCGTGTAGGCACCGTTTATCTACACAACGTAATCGTGTGCAGCAAGCTCAGCAGTCATCAACTCCGTAATCGCGAATTTCATGAGGTTGCCCCGGTACAGTTGTAAACTAGCAACAGACCGTAGATCACGGCTGTAGTAATGTACTTTTTTTGCACATTGGATTCTTAACTTTCATTTAAAACTACTTGTTACCTATATTATAATATTACGTATAATATACTCAAGTGTTTTTTTTGTATCGCTTTATACACAACTTTGCAATTTTAAATTGTTGCCATCTTAACATAGTAAGTTTATACAATCATTATTATACTCTATACCTATTCTATTTTTACATATTATTATGCATAGGTATCTCGTTTATCCGCTTAACCGTAAACTATAAATTATTTTTAAATGTAATTTTGATTTAGTTTTGACATATTTATTCGACTCGATGTGATGCATTATTAAATTATTATTTTTCATAAACTGATGAACCAATACTGAGACAGAAAAATTGATTCCATCATTATTTATTTAATACTCTAATAGGTAGGTATCTATGTAGGTAATATACTAATGTTTAATGTGTATTATAATTTATAGCCGTTTCGATGTAATCTGCATTCTACTTACTATGTAAACGGTTTCCCCTGCTAATCCATGAATAGTGAATACTGATGAATCACTCAAGCATTTAGATTGTACTCATAATTCAGATATAAGTACCTACCTACTAACCTATAATATTATCTTTAATGATAAACATACATGACATGCTGCACTTGTCTCTTATTTTCGGGGGGAGGGGGCAAAAATTAATGACAATTATTGACCCATTTAAAAATCTTCTCACATTCAACTTATCTATATAATATTTCACCTACATTTTTATCTGGGGGGTAACTGCCCCCTTGTGTCCTCCCCCAAATGCCGCCTATGATGATAAATATAATAACACATTTTGTTGGTATACCTATATTGCAATTACCATATTGGTAATTAATATTTGCAAAATGTGTGTGATCAATTTTTAGCTTTCAGAAAATTATAATATACAGAATTCTTATTAGGAATACAGTGAAACTTCTATACTACGAAGTCTCATGGGCAAAAAAAAAAAATCGCATTATAGAGAATTTTGTTAAATAGAAATAAATAAATTTAATACTCAAAAATATTTCGTTAAAAAGAAAATATTTTTAATTGGAAGTTCGTTAAATGGAAGTTCCAATGTAGTTTAAATGTTTAGAACTGTAAAATATTATTAAATCAACTATAGAAATATTATTGTGGTGCGATCATTTAATTCTTTATAGACACATTGGAATTTGGATCTTGAAAGTGAGAAGAGAATAACATAAATTATATTAATCACAGCGTTCAATATATAATTTTTATAATTATATAATATCGTGTACGTCATGTACATATAAGAATAGGTATATATGGCGATAATATATATATGTTCATAATATTATTGGTTCATTATGCAATTATAAATTTAAATATAAAATTACAATAATATAATTATATGCTGGTTAAGCGGGTATGCACTATGCACTATAATATACAATTCACTGCAATCGTTCAAACATGCAAGAAAAAAATTGATTTTTTCGCATTTAGAATTGATGACATAATAATATACATAACTTATTTAAAGTGTCATGCATTGTCGTTATGTAACGTTTAGGTATCTACTGATACGTAAACAGTGTTATATAGCCGTATAATAATATGCTCATTTCAGAGTGATGAGTAATGCGAATTCCAGTATCCCACCATATCGATGTATAAATTCGCGAACTCGTCGTCGCCAGTTTCATCCTTTCTTCGTTTTTTCGAGTAGGTAGATTAGGTTAAGTCACATAGGTGGCGATCGTGGTGCAGAGGCTACGGGGGGCTTGGTCTCCTCAAAATTTTACGTTTCCACCACGATGTAGAGAAGATATTACATATTACAGATCTTCTCTACATGACTACATCGTGGTTTGTTTTATGTCAGGTATCATGTATTCGTGTAGCCGTGTAGGTACCTAATATAACATTATTAAGTACTTCTCATTTAAAGTTAATTTAGGAATTGGTGTATCTTAACATTTACCTTCTGAATTCCTAATTAGTAAAAATCTCAAAGAGAAAACTACGTTCGATATTATGAATTATGATCTAAATATTAATACAAATTTAGACGCCGTGTATGTAGCAGCCAGATATTAAACTGCATATATTATTACTGCATCTAATAATTTAGTTTTGTAGGTACTATCGGGCGCAAGTAATTTACTACCTACCTATTATAATAATATCAAAGATCACCTATAGGCTAGAATGAGTATTGACTAATAAATTATGACCTATTAGGTAGGTTATGAATAGGTATTAGGTAGGTACTGAGAAATTTGATTCACAAATTATGATTGACCAATGACCGGTGACCCCCTCCGGTCCAATCGTTGGATCAAATCGAGAAAATGTTATTTTCATCGCCCACGTTGTGCTTGTGATTATCTAAAGAATAAAGCCGGTGTACAGATTGATATGGTTGGCGACGGGGCCGCGGCCGCTGATAAGCGTTGTTGTGACTTGCGGTGCCGCGCCGTGGTGATGGTGTGGCGGTGTCGTGAAGGGACGATGAGTGCACGTTATTATTATTATCTTCATCGGCGTCGGCGTCGCTCGTCCGTCCGCCGAATAGTCGTGCCGGTGCCGGTGAGTGCGGTGACGATAACGAAACGGCGCTGCGCTCGTTCGGCGACGTGTGAAATTTTCGAACGCGGAAAATACGCCGAGCTCGGTACTAGCGGTCTCTGACGGTAATCGCGCGCCTTCCCCGTACTCGTGCACTCGTCCGGCCATTCGCGGTTCGCCCCACCTAGTACCGTACTACCGTAGTACCGTCTGCGGTCTGCCTACATCATTTTAAGCCCGCTCGTCCGTCCTTTCGCTAGTCCGTTTCTTGTTTTTCTCTTTATTTTTTTTTTTTTTTATCGCTAAGGGTAAAGAACTCGCCGCCCACGCCGCGACGTTGAAAAATCGTTTTAATCCGGTCATCGTTCACCGCGAGGTCGAGAACACGCAACGCACCTACCGCGGCGTGCTCTCCGTTTGCCGTGATTTACACCAACCCGTCGGTTTTATCTGTTAATTTCTCTTATTTTTCATTTGTCCCTCGCCAGTCGCGTGTTCCTGCAAGACACACGCGGGGTCCCGTTCATGTGCGCCATCTGTTCTCGCTGAAACACCCGAGACACGTGCGAAACACCACTCGGCCAACACCACCAGTGTACATACACCCGTGACCGTTGGGTCGTTGTCTGTCATTCGAATGTGTTACGGGATTCTTGCGGTCCTGTGACGTCCGACTCCTCTGCTGTGTTTACTCATCATGCTGGACATTCAAATCGACGATTGGATACGTGAACCCGCCGAAGACGTGAGGTACAGCAGCAATTGCGGCGGAGCGACCGTCAGATCTTGGCGCAGCAAATGCGATCCTGGTGAATGACGCCCCCCGACTACAGCCCTCAAGCGCCGCAAACGACCCAGGTGATAATGGCCGATCTCGTGGCCAGATTAAGCAAGCTCGTGCGTTTGCACGGCGCTGGCCACAAAAAAGTTAACCATCCAGAAGATCCAGTCTGCACGCCTCTCCGCAGTAAGTCAATTTATTATTATGTCGCTGTGACAAGTTTTTCATATTTTGTCTATTACTTTGGCTCCAGAGTTAGAAGTACGTCTACCTAGGTATTTACTGTTTAATTCATACATCGTGAAAAATAAAATTGTTTGTGTTCTTGTTAACCTTACCTTTCGTAATTGTCGAACTATAATACCTATAGCTGATTGTTCTAAAATAAAAAAAAAAAAAAAAACCTTACCTAACCTAACTTGCCGCATTCGGTAGTAATAAATAATAATCTCATAGGTAGGTAATAATAATTTTTGATGTAATAGCACTTAACAATAATTAAGTACCTACTTATTTATTTTTAACTAGAAAGAATTACTGGTAGGTACCTAGTTATAATCAATATTTTATTTTATGAAATTAATCACTTTATTCTTAAAATTTCATCATTAAGGTATAGTTTCATATTGCCTTTACTATCTTCTTTTATTGTTTCTGAACATTTTTACGACTATAATTTATTTAAGAAATAAGTACCTAAATTATGCTAATTCAGAGTTGGTAGGTAAGAACCAGATTTTATTATTTACACAATTATAATATATTTCCTACTTATATCAGGATGAATAAAATAATATAATATGATTTAATTACCTATATCTTATTGAGGTTATCTCTCTAGTTCATCAGTTTTAGGAAAAAACCTTTATGATTAACCCGACGACTAACCCATGATTTAAGTCATAGGCGGAGCCTTTAGTTTAGGGTATGCAGAATTTTAATCGGCCCACCTCCCACATCCCCTCTTTTACCATGAAAAATACATAGGTATACCAAGTACATTATATTATAATAACTACCATTTATCCTATCTGCATTCATATTGTTTCTACATTTCTACCACAACCTACAAATATTTTTTTAAAAATACACAATTGTTAATAGGTACCTTCAATGTATTAGAATTATAATACATAATATGTATATACAAATTGAATACTCGATATACAACATATAATTGTTAAATACTACACAATTTATCAGTATACTTAAAAACTATGGACACTTGATCTTCAATTCACTATTAAAATAGGAAACATGATATTATTATAAAGTCATTTGTCTCTTAAAATCTACCACTAGTTGGAAATTGTCTATTATAGTATCAGCATCAACATTGACTGCCGTTCTACTTACTGTTAATAGGTACCTACCATCAAAGCATATTTTAATCTATCTTAAAATTTAGAGAAAGACCTCCCTCAATATTACAGCTTGTCAATAGGATCACTACACACTTGAATAGCATTAAAAAATTGGTTAAAGTAGGGTAGGTATACCTAACTATTATTAGTCTCCAGCCAATTTAACAATTTATTGATTTTATTTTTGTTACATAAACAGTCTTTGTTAGGAATCTTAGTATTGTTTTAAATAGCTGTAGGTACTTCTATTTTGAGTTGTTCACTGTCACGTCATCGAAAAGTTTTTGATAGAAATGATAGAAACCTTAAAATAACGCCCTTAAAACAAACAGTTGCATGGAATATTTTGTATCATATCTTATTGTGTACTCCGGGCCTTCCGGCTTAAGATAAAACCATCGGGGGCCTCTAAGTTTTTTCTCAACTTAAATTAAAGCGGCTCCCTTTGGGGCGATTAAGGTGTAGCGATGCATACCTTGTATACGCTCTGTAGCTACGCTTATGATTAAAGTTTATAAAGATTATTTATGTCTATTATAGAATCAATTTTTAACATTGTATGAGTTTCATTAAATATTGAGTTAAATATACGTTTACATTTATTACATAATTTGTTAGGTAATTCCTACCTGTATGGTCAATATAATATAATAAATTATAATATAATATAGGTAATATAATATAATGTAATATAATATAATTTAATATAATATAATATAATAATAATAACATTTATTTGAACGAACAAAATATTTAAATATATTTAGTACCTACCTATAGAAATACCATATCAAATAAAGCACATCCAATAAGCAAATACTTGCAAATGCGGATGGGGATTTATGATTCTTTATTATTTTTAATACTAGATTGTTTAATCTGATTTAATCATAGGTACTTATGCACATATTATGCATAGTCAATTTATGTGTCACATAAGACATTGTTAAACCTCGTCATAAACTATGTCTTATGTGACACACAAATTGACTATGCATACGGTCATTAGATACTTACCTCTAATAATATCTATTATACCTAAACATATACTAATTATAAATCCTGTTATAAATTATATTCACAGTCAAACATCCTAAACCTCGTCATAAACCTTAGGTTTTCCTTTGGGTTTTTTAAAAAGTATTAGGTCCTATTCAAAACGATGAATGTTGTGGTGTTACAATGATGTTTGTAAAAATACTTAAGGTATACCTATCAGAAAAATTTGCTTCAATATTGAAGGTGGTTACTGATTAGTAGAAAATTGTATTTAGCCCGTATCTAGTTTTTAGATTAAGGGGATATAAGGGGACATTGTGTCAAAAGTTCTCAGTCATTTTCAAAATAATTGGGAAACACAAAACTATGGAAAAATTGGAATAGGTATATAGCCAACACCAATTTACGACAATATCAATTATTGTTTTCTTGTTGTAAGTAGGCAGGTAATTTAAAAATAATTAACCTCGTTGGTCCTATGAATGCTTCACTAAACATTTATATAGGTAGGTACCTAAGCATTTTCTGGATATAATATATTCGCTGTGGCTATATCCCCGACAGTCGGGTCTTTATTAAAGACCCGACAACTATGATAACAAATGCGCATGCGCGGAAAATATACATGATAACAATATGACAATGATAATGCGATGATTAGCCGCTTTTACAATTTACAGTTTTATTTTTGAATTTTTGATTACATTTGTTTTTATTGTTTTACATTATTTTAATAATATTAATTCATAATTAATTTAATAATATAAGCTAGAAAGGTAAACATATTACTGTAATTATAATATTTTAGAAATATGGTATTTGTGAATTATGTGAATTATTGTAAATATTATTGAATGTGGATATTATACATTATAAGGAAATTGCAATGGTAAATAGGAAAATGAATTATAAATAAAAAGTCCTTTTATTTTTTTTCATGTTATTTATTCAAAATTGCGCCCATGCTTAAGGGTCCCGGTGCCAGTTTTTCAAATTTTTAATTTCCTACTGCCCGCATCGATCTCTGAATGCTTTTATCTGAGATCCATGTGGGCTGTAGAATATTTTTCTCTAGCAACAAAAAAAATTATGAAATTTGGTTGATTCTTCAAGGTAGTATTGTTATTCCCGAAGAGTGCATTTTTGAGGACGGCACCGGGCGCCTTAAGTCACCATTGCAACAGTTAAGAGGGAAATGGTGATGGATAGGGATATGTGATGGCTAAATAACCGGACATTTAATACTGGGGATGTATGTGACATGGAGATATGTTATATATTATTTGTTAGCAATGATGAGCAAAGTGCAGTGGTACATTCGGTTTACCACAAATTACGAGAAAAAAAACCGAGAAGAAAAAGAAGATATTAAGATAAAAATAGAACCATCCACTGATGACCTAGGTGATATAAACTTTTTTATTTTTAGATTTTCAATTGAATATGTAAAATTTGTGATGACTGGTAAAACTGAATTATTATTTTTTAGATTTTAGATAGCTAGGATAAAATGATTATGATTGTTTTTGTTAATTATTTTTGTTTAATTTTGGTACATAATATCCACATTAATATTTATTAATATTCACACAATTCACCTCGCAATTCACAAATAACCTATTTCTAAAATATATGATGTTACTACCAATTGGCAATTAGTAATAATTACTAATTAATATTATAATCTATGAATAATAATATTATCAGATTATCACAGGCGTTATCATTGTTATATTGTTATCATGTGTATTTTCCGCGCATGCGCATTTGTTATCATAGTTGTCGGGTCTTTAATAAAGACCCGACTGTCGGGGATATAGCCACAGCGTAATATATTTGGGATGTTTTTCAGCTGATTCCAGGCTTGTTTTATACAATTGTTGATGTTCATAACATTTCCTGTAACATTTTAATTTTAATACTTAAAGAATGTTACTTATACAATGCATATGTGGTCTGACTTTGTTTTACCAACACATAACATACCAAATTTAACGTTCAGAAGAATCCGTTTTACTCTGTTGCGTATGTATATTATAATATACCTAACAGTGAACTAACTTATTATCAAATTTAAATTTAAGAATATTATCTAAGGCACTTTATGGGTTTTGCTTTTATTTTTTTAATTTTTTTAATTTTGAAGCTAGTAATGAAACTTTTAAAACGCTCATAACGTGTTTAAAAAAAAAAAACTTACAATGTGACTTGATAATATTTTTTACCTTTAAATTTGTCTTAATAATAAGTCGATTCACTGTCATTAAGAACAAAAACAAAACTGGTTCTTCTAATTGTTAAATTTGCCATGTAAAGGTTAGGTAAGGGCGGTAAAGGCAAAATGAAGCCCGAGGTAAAGCCGGTCACAATTTACCGCCACCGCCAAGACAAAATAATTTTACCGCTACCCCTGCAGTATGTGACGATCTTTATACGTTAGTAAGAATATTAAAAATTAATCCAAAAATAAATTATCTGTATGAATATAGGTAAATATACAAGTAAATATAGGTATGATAGAATAAATAAAATATTTAGTACCTAAGGAATGATTTATCATTGAATTCCTATTTAACACTCACATTACAGTGACTTACTCAATGAAGAGGTACTTTTAAACCCTAGCTTCTATGCTATATTATTGTCAAACATTTCAATAAGCAAGTATCTATTGATAAAAGCCTAATGAAAAAATACGAGATAAAATATTATTTCTTTCCATCCATCTCTAAATGTTTCAATTCAAATTTGTACATGTTGATTCTTATTATTTATAAAGCATTTCAGCTCTATTATTTCTATTAAATTTATTACTTAAAAAGTTGTTTTTTAATACTTGGAACACTCAGCAATGTACTATTTAATGTAGGTACTTATCATTAATCTAACTATAGGCTCAATGCTTAATTTAAATGTTATTGTTTTATAATTTAGTAATATATTATTGAAGTGCTTAGTGGTAAGGATGATTCATAAGCACGCTTCTTTTAACTATATTATAATCTTAATTATTGTAATAGTATGAATTCCAATTAGGTATCATCAAAAATACGAGTCAAAATATGAGTACCCCCTAATAATTAATGGGATTTTATAATATTCATTATAAATGTATTTCAATTTTCTTATTTTCAAAAGTGGTTGTTACTATTGTTATTCCAATGTATTCTATTAGGTTGGTAGACGTTATTTTCGTTTGTATTTTATAGTCCAGTGTAGGTAGGTACTAGGTATTTAAATCTTCTTTAGGTTTTTCCCGGGTTTTTTCCTTATTGTCTTATTTGGTTTAAGTAATTTATATCTCTATATAGTGTCCTAGTTATATCTTCAAAAATCTACTTAATACGTATATTAATTTTTTCCCAGTAATTTTTGTACTTGGGTTTTTTTATTAGGTATTTACTAATATTTACCATTTGTCAAAATTCAACCATAAAACAGTTTTAATTGTAAAATCAACACGCTCTAAAATGTTCTATACCTATTGTAATTTTACAATTTATTTTATATCTTTTAAAAATGATCAACTAATATGCTGTGTGCATTGATCATGATGGTATAGAAGATTTTTTTAAAGAAGGAAGACATTTCAGGGGAAGGGGGAGGGGGTGGTGTTAGAAACCTAGAACCCTACCACGATTGCATAGGCCATTGATTGAGTATGCTATTTTAGATTAGTAAGAACTAAGAACAAGAGTAGATTAGCTTAAAATTACTCAATGACATAGATTTTATCATAATAATTGATATTTTCAATTGATCTTAATTATTAAGAGCAATAAATATTATTTTCTTAAGAATATTAATATTAGGTTTTGTTTTTAAGATTCAATGTTGAATAATTTTTTTTTTACTAGGAAACTACTTATCATGCAATCCTAAATCCTTAATTTATTAAAATTAAAAACGTTTCCGTACCTAACTGAATATGATGAAAATATAGGTATTATAAAATCACCTAAATAAATGTCTCTTACAAATACTGGTCAAGCTTAGTTTAAAGGCATTAAATAAGTTTGAACTTTAAAGTATAAACCAACATGAATCAAATCCAAAAATAATGTTATAAAATAATTACAAAATGGTATTGTTTGTAATAGGTATTTTAAAAAAGAATCATTTTTTAGTCAAAATGAGCCGTTACACCAAAATGTCTATATACTATATTGTATGTATTTTTAATAAGTTATTAATGGTTAAAAATAAAAGAAATTAAGTTAAATTAAAGCATGCTTATCTTGATAGCAAATTAAAATATTAAAGAACTAATCCGACCAATGCACAGAATATACCTCTGAATATACCCATAATAAGACTTAATATTTATCTTTGCCGTAAATTAGTCTTAAATCATAATAGTACGGAATACCTTTGTGGCTATACATTACGCTCAAGACAGATAGAGAAAACTTATGAGCACACAGCACTTTCGTGTGGCTGGAACTTAAGATGGCCAAGTTAGGTATGGGTATGTAAGACATTAATATATAAAAATGCTCATAATTTGCTTAAAAATTATATTATCGTAAAAAAATCATCGAGAGAACACAGATAATGTTCTTACTTTTAAATTTCAGCATAGGTTAATTCATTCTAATATTAAAGCTAACTACACAAAATTGGTTCTACTGAATGCAAATTTGCTATGTAGTACGTTTGCCAGACTGAGACAACACATGCAAGTGTGGCGCGCGAGGTGGCGTATCCTCTGCGCGTTTTCAAAATAGAAATGGTAAAAATTAATTTAGCAAAAACAAGAATTAATGTGAAGAGCGATAGGAGTTACTACCTATCGTATTTAACTTACTCTTACATAATGTATTTAACGAGTTTTTAATAACTAGTAGGTACTTCATTATGTATTCATATCACATAGGTATAGTAGTTATTTATACAACAACTGCGATACTAAGTAGCTCTTTTGAAGTGGGGGTGAACTACTGTCTCGATAAGGTTTAGCGGGAATAAGATAATGACTGCTACTCTTTAAATTACATACTACGCTGGTTAAATTGTTACTATTCTCAGGCTTATAAAATAATGTCCAACAATAACGGTATGTATGAGAACTGTTTAATATAATATTGACTTTCGATCTGGAATGTTAATGTATAATTAATTAATTATTATTTAAATATAATGTCAATTATTATATATTTATGTATACTTAAATTGTGTTTTAATTTTTATAGGGCCAATTAAAGAAGATTCTAATTTTAAAGACGATGAAGACCCATCTGTTGATTATGTTGACATTATTGGTACTGAAGAACAATTGGTCAGTATTTTACTATGAATTAACCATATTATTAATAATAAAATTCCATTCTTACTAATTGAACATAATTGAGTACATAACAACAATTTTAGTTTAATTCGTTTTCAATTAAAAACGTGTAATGTTTTTCATTTCATAATTTCTTCAACCAATAGTTATGTTTATACGGTAGGTACTATGATAACAATTACCATGAATTAATATATATTATTGCATAAGTCGGAAATTCAATAAATAACATTATCAATTTGTTTTTTAATTGAGAATATTTAAGTAAGTTTTCTACTGTTTTCTTTTTTACGTAAATTATTTTTGATTAAAAATTTGATTTTTAGGTATTTTATCGAAAACTAAAAGTTTGAAGAATACAATTTAATGTTGCTATACTTACTTTAGTTTAAAGAATTTAGTCAACGGAATAATATAAATCTTCTTGTCTGAAAGGGGCAGTTAAATTACTAATAGTATTACATATATGTTAAATTAATAATTCGCTTCTTTAGATATAGGTATTTATGACACGTTATTATGATAAAATTCATTACACTAAAATTAAACACTTTCATTTTAACTTTTTAATATGTAAAAATCTTTAGTCTTCGTTTTTTTATACATAATATACTAGTAAACAAAAAAAATATAAAAAAGATCCGACAACTGCGGAGGTGATAGATCAGCTAATACTCAAAACAATCAATTTTGAGGTTAGTGGGTCATCAGTAGGGCCCGGAACTTGATGACCTAAAAAATGCACACAGAAATACCAGAAATTACTTTATAATAAGTTGACATTTTTAAAAATTTAAGTTTTTTTCCTTTTTTTATAATTTTGTTATTCATGGGTCATAATCTTATTTATAATAGGTTCTATTATAGGTTCTTTAAAAACGTTTACTCTCGAAGGAGCCTTCAAAAATATTTTTTTGAAGTTTGAAATAATTCGATCTGAACTGAACGTGTAATTTCAACAAGAAAAATGCAAATAAATGTAAAAAAGGTGCTCTGCTGTACAGTAGGTTACAAGTGGGTCATTGTATAATGGATGGTATTCAATTTGAATCCATTGATTAATAATATCATTGTATAAGAAAAACGGTTCTGAGCGGAGACGGTATGTCAGTCTAGGTATAAGACATATCATATACTTATCTATGGTATTAAAAAAAATGTACATAAAATAGGTACCTATAATAAATTCCAAATTAATCATATCACAATATCCATTAGGTACTTATAACGCGTTATACCTCAACAACAAACCCTGATACTATCATGGATATAAAATAGTGTACTTTAGATGTTTCAAGTACCCACGAATGATATTATACAATCACAACAAAATAACTAAAATAGTTATACTAAGTTCTTTATTATGTAATTTCGTCCAAATTTGAACTTAAAATGACTATAAAAAAAAATGTGTACATGTATTTTTTAGATTTTTTGGTGGAATCTTATTTTAAATTTTCAATTCTTCGATATAAAAGTTGAACATTTTATAAATTATAAACTACAAAATAATTATTAAATTTTAAATTTGATAAATTTTGTCAAAATTCGATCTTTAAATGCTTATAAAAAAAAATTGTACCTATGTATTTTAAATATTTTTCAACTGCTTTATTGATATTTATAGAAAAAAAAATTGAAAACTGAAAATGTCCGTTAACAGCTCAAAAAGAGTCAAAATATTTTCAAAATTATATGGTGTATATGAAATGCTAATATAAACATCCAGTGAAATTTTCATGTATCTACAGTTACCTATTTGTTTTTGAATTACAACAAAATAAGGAAATCGCTACTTGAGAAATCGAGTGAATATCCAATGTTGTAAAAGTTTGAATTTCAAACGCTCATAAAAATTTAATTTGACTTTCTTTTACACATTTTTTTTTTTGATACAGGTAGATAATCTTTTAAGTAATCTTGTATTAAATTTTAAAATTTTAGATTTAAAGAGAAAAATTTTTATGAATTCTTAACTCAAAATAATTTTCAAATATTCGTCATTTTTAGGTATTTAGTCAATATTTTATCTTTAAATGCTTATAAAAAAAACTGTGACTAATAATTTTTAATATTTTTCATCTGCCTTTGAAACAATATACTAGGCGCCTTCTATTCAATTTTCAAGCTTTTTTAACCAACAAATAAAATTTTATTGATATTTTTAGGAAAAAAACAAAAAAAATATATTACAGTCATTTGTTTTAGAGTTACACCAAAAACCAAAATCGATTTTGCCTAAACATTTTTGTTTTACCTTAATTTTTATGTAGTTTTTCCCGGCGCTTGTGAAAACTATTGGGAATTTTAAAATTTGACCTCCCGAATGCACCAACTAGATTCACTTGGCCATCGAACAAGATACTGTTGAAGAAAATCGAAGCAGTTTTACTGCTTCAAACAGTGATGACGGACACAAAAGTAAAAAAAGAAAAAAAAGCACATCATTGTAAAATCAATATATTCATCGTTTCACTCAGAATCTAAAAAAGTACATAAATGAATAAAATACACTAAAAATACTAAAAAATGACTGTAAAGCAATAAATTCCCTAAAAAGTAAAAATTTTACCATTAAATTCGAAATGCCATGAATCAAATTTCTGTAAAGACGAGCCTCGTATGTAAGCATTAGAAAAAAAAATGTAAATGCATCACGTTCCGGGCCCTAGTCATCAGTCATCTCCACCTATTTATCTATTTATGGATGTATTTGAAATCGGTTACTGTTAACACTGTTAAGTACAGTTAAAAGTTTTCTCGGATAAAACAAAATTACACACTTTGTTAACCATGTCCCCATGGTGTGGTGTACTTGTTATCTATTCATAATTTGCTTATTTTATTTGCTTTGCCAAGTTACAGTATACTACTTGTTACTTGTATCATTAGTATTTGTTCCATATCGTAGCGTAGATAACACGATTGTCGTTTACTTGTGGATACTTGCCATGCCGTTTCTACGGTCTAAAGTCGGCTTTTAGAGTTGTACATTTATTTGTCACTTGTGCGTTTTCGTTACTTTTTGAGGATTGTTGGTAAACTTGTCACTAGTCAACGGAGCGGGTAATATACTTGACAAATATGACATTCGTTAAGAGGGCTCTACGCCCGCATGCTTTTTCTCTGTCTTACTAACACATAAAGGTATGGTGTGCAGCTTCAAACAGTGGAAAATTAAGGCGTCGTCACGTCGCGTCCAGACGCCGACCTATGTCCGGACCGGTAGTGACGCTTAACGCGTGTCCAGACGTTTCAGGGAAAATGTACCTTTACATAGCAAATTGTACGTTCTGAATAATCTATTTAACTCTGGTACACATGTTTAATATAAGAACGAATTTACCTATTGTGAAATTAAAAAGTAAAAATATTATCGAGTGAACCTCATAGGCAGTGGCTTATATAGAAATAATTTTTGGGGTGGGCTATAGTAGATAGAAACTAGAAAGTGATCTATTATAACTTAGAGGCTACTGTCTATATATTTAACAGTTTCTATAAATATATTCGTATTTGTTATTTTCAACATTCTATAAAATATTGTAACTTATAATAGTACTTAATAAAATATATTGTTGTTCTATTTAAAAAAAACTGTAATTAGGGGGTTGGGGGGCCTGCAGCAAGCAAACCCCTATATACGCTACTGTTCATAGGTTTTTTTAGATTTTAATTATAAAGCAAGTTATGAGTACTTATTTTAAAATGCACAACAATGTAAAATTTTAAAATACTCATAAGCATAATTTTCTTTAAGATTAAAATATTTAAAAAACCTATGAGGTTAACTAGATAATATTCTTACTTCTAAATTTTATAATAGGTAAATTCGCTCCAATATTAATTATAACAGAGTTAAAGATTATTCATAACGTACAATTTGCCGTGTTTACGCGTTTGTAAGACGGAGACAAGATGCGGGTGTAGCGTCCTTTCAGTTAATTGGTTCAAAAGTAACGGAATATACGCGGATATGCATGCGAACACTTGATTTGTACATTATTTGCTAATTCCATTATTGATGTACTTGCCATTTGGAACAAGAAATATTTTCGGTTAACGTGGCATGAGTATATTACTTTGTGAAAAATTGTAAATAAGTATACTATTTATTATTTAACTACCTATTGTACAGTCTGTACTTGATTGGGGATTCTGTCACTCGTGTGGGAAAACAGTAAAATAGTAGCAAGCAGCAGTAGCAACAGGTATAAATTAATATAATTAATAAGTACCCACTTTAGAAATATTATTAAATTATTGATTATGCTATACAGTGTTTTCGACGACAAAGGTAGGTATTAGGTAACACAAAATATTTTGAACTCATGACCATGAAATTACGATTTTTTTTTTTAATGCATACAGCTTAATAGTAACATTGCACTTAATTGAATTTGCGAAATAAATTTTTTTTGAATTGCACCTCTACTCTTTTTTGAGCTCGATTTTTAATTAAAATAATTTTTTAACTGAATTATAAAGTTTTTTTCTAACTTAAAAATCTACTTTTTGAGAGTGAGTTAAAGTTTCGATTTATGCGCATGATGTATTTATCGTATTTTTTGATAGTCTAACTATGATGATAGTCTAGCTCAAGTTCCTCGTGATTTCATAATATTACGATACCACACCTTCATTTTTAAAATTCATACTAAACCACACATAACTTTGTGCAATCGTTGAATTGTATAGATTAACTGTTAAAAAATACCATTGAATCAAATACAACATGTTTATAAACCGAAACCTCAACTCACTGCGGATAAATCAATTTTTAAGATGTTTATGACAAAGTTGTTTAAAAAAAAAAAATTCAAATTTAAATTTAAATTTTAGATTCTGAGCGGAGCGATGAATGTATTGGTTTTACAATGATGTATGTTTTTATATTTTTATATTTTTATATTTTTTTTTATATTTTTGTGTCTGTCATCACGTTTTAGGACAGTAAAAGTGGTTGGATTTTCTTCATCAGTAGCTTTTCT